TCCCTGGAGTTTCTGGGAGCGACCCCTCATGCAAAAATTTTGAAAACTCTCTAGAGTACATTTCCAGCAATGAGCCTCAGTACAGAAAGCATGCATATACATTTACTGTACTTTTAGTGGACCAACTTCCCAATCAGCCACATAAACTATGTTTCTGGATTCATTGAGCATGCAATGCTGCAGCATTCCTAAACAATTTTAGCCCCCCCCCCCCCCCCCCTCTGCTTCCAGCGTCCTCCCTGTTATCAGTAAAACGAACGTGCTTCCACATTTATAAAATCGTTGTTCCATTTTTACAATCATTACCGGCACAGCATGGCAGGTACTTGACCTATGTGCAAATTATTCCAGGCTATCCTGGCTTTCCTAAAAAAATAACAAACGACTGTAAAGCTGCAATATGAGGAGACAACTTGTAAACAAGATGTGTGCTCTTTATAAGGGTACTACAGAGCGAGCAATGAGATTTTATTTTCCAAAAAGGCCATACCAAAGATTTTTGGCCATGCAGAGATAAAGATCCCCAGCACTTGGTTAACTGAAACTTAAACTTTAATGACTATAAATAGATGTGTATATTTTGGGGGAAATTTGGGGGAAAAATGAAACTAGCCACTGAATCTGGAAATACAAGAATATAGTAGAAGAGAACAATTCCGAGATATAACCCAAAATAATATATATATATATATATATATATATATATATATATATATATATATATATATATATATATATATATATATATATATATATATATATATATATATATATATACAGTATAATATATATATTTAGTATTTTTACACAAGTGAACATAACAAATCCTACAAGGTGATTGGTCAAATTTGACGTATTAATCTGTTATATTCACCTACAGGTGAATATAACAAAATCGAAATTTGAAACGGCCAGCCGTTTTGTTGAAGTTAGTGATAAAGAAATAAGCGAAATTAAAATGAATTCAGACCAGAAAAAACACAAAAAAACTTACTAAAACAATTATTCGCCTGCAGGCTCGGTGATTATCGGGGAATATTCACCTCGACTTCGTCTCGGCGAATATTCCCCGATCACCTCGCCTTCGGCGAATAATTGTTATATATATATATGAGAGCGAATGGTATAATTGTTTTATAATATAGTTTAATAGCCATTAACTGAAGCAATAATTAATTATCCTCTGTCACAGTGTCTTGACAATTTGTTCGGCCAAAAACCGCTTGGCCTTGAAAATTTAAAATACTTTTGTTTTACAACTCGAAGACGAAGTGAAATAAATGGTTTTAGAACCATTATATATATCTCACAGAAAAGCTCATAGATATATATATATATATATATATATATATATATATATATATATATATATATATATATATATATATATATATATATATATATATATATTTAGTATAAATTTCCAGGTGACTATTGATTTTTCTGCATTCTGATTGGTCAAGATTCACTGTCTCTGAAGTGATAGTCACTGGTCAGTGACTATAGCTTTTTTTTCAAAATGGCTGCTCGTTTTGCCGTAGTAACAGAGGAGGAAATTGCCAAAATTAAAGAAGATAGCATTCCGAAAAAACCCAAACAAGCTATAAAATATGGTTTTAAAATATTTCAAGGTAAACTATTAAACTTTACGTGCTTTTATTTGGAAAAAAACTGGCTTAGTCGCAACGCGACACAAAGCCGTGTCTGAGATTTAAATTTTGTAAACAAACTATTTATAGCGAAAATACATTGATTTGAAGTGAATTTTTATAAAGTTGTGTGGATTATTGTTTGTAAACATCTGGAAATTTATACTAAAACAATTAGTCGCCTCAGGCTCGGTGATTACAAGCCTATATTCACTTCGCCTTCGGCTCAGTGAATATAGGCTTGTAATCACCTCGCCTTTGGCGACTAATTGTTAAATAGAGTTTTAGTTGCTGCCGAAGGCAGCCTCCTATTCTTGACGATGTGTTATAGCGCATTTGAATTTCCCGCCAACAGTTTTATACACTTGAAGCGTATCTCGATTTTTTGGTGTTTGTCGGCAGTTTGACGTCATATTATGACGTTGCAGTAAGGAATTCACATTGGAGCATTATCATACCCCAGGAGTTTACGATAGCAAATCGATGACTGCCGAATACTTTGTTCAGCGATCTGCGAACGACGTTCCAAGAATGGCGTTTAAAAATATTTCGATCTGCTGCTTTGTGAGTTTGTGGCATATTTATACACGAGGCCAGGAGCGAAGCAGAGACATTTTTTGTGTAAATACTGTCGTTATCATATTCAAGTGTTGTGAGAAAGGGAGATCCTTTAGAGTTATGTCAATTTGTTCGATTTTGTTCGCCCAAAACATTTACATATGCTAAATATATAGGAGATAATATAGTGCTGAGAAATGTCTGTGAGTGTGATTCTGTTTATTTACTCAACTTTTACCATGCTATACTAGCCTATACATATTAGTCATACATATCAAATATTAAAATGCACCTATGGCTATGGCCTCATATCTTTAGCATATTCATCACAAACTCTATGTATAAACACGGAATGTTGTACGTGTATGCACGTCTTAATAATCAGCCTTTATATAAATATAAATATATTCCTATCAACCCATACCCTGGTTCCAGAGGTTTAAAATAAACCTCTGGTTGAAAGCGGCAATTGATTCATTGAGCCGCGCCAATCAGTTTGAATTAGGGTCAGATCCTGACTCTGTCTCCTGATTGGATGATTGTATTAAAGCTCTCTGATTGGTTATAGATGTTTTATTTTAATTAATCAGAGAGCTTTAATACAATCATCCAATCAGGAGACAGAGTCAGGATCTGACCCTAATTCAAACTGATTGGCGCGGCTCGATGAATCAATTGCCGCTTTCAACCAGAGGTTTATTTTTTCTCTCCCCTTCGCAATGAAAATAAATAAAAATAAACCTCTGGAACCAGGGTAATCAACCCAGTGTGGATTGTTGTCTGCATATATTAACTTACCAGCATGCAGTTAATACAAGGTGTGACGGTCAGACTAAAAATATACTATTCAGATATGTTCATTGTTTATAGCACAATATGAAATAATCCTACCGGCCTTCATATATATTCACCTGGCTGTGTCACCACATTTCAGGGTATACTATATAACTATATTTCTCGATAATGCTCACAATTTCTTTCTTATTATATAGTCATTACAAAGAATGGTGTCATCTGAATTCTGAAGCTGACATATTAAACGAAAATGTCAACAAATAGATTTTGTCTCCCCATCAGCAGATTGTTCAGTTGTTCTGCAATAGGCGTAGCCTTCAAGGTGCCATTAAAACGATATGCCATTGACTTAGTATTTCTATATATGAAATTGTTATTAAATTCTACATGTTCAATGGATTCATTCAAGTATTATTATTGTTTATACATATGGTATTATTGTACAGCGGTCAGTATAATCTGCAGACCAGACTGGGTACAAAACGCAGACTGAGGATAAAATGCAGACCGGGGGTGAATTAGGGATATTTCACAAATTCCCGCCAAGCCATAGTCACATGCTTTTGTTGCAGATCGAGCTTTCAAAAATGTGTGAATATGAGTGGTGTTTTTGAAAACCCACCAATTGCTTTCGGATTTTTTAGCATTACGAATAGGAGCATGATCAGGGACTGCTGCCATCATACTACTCCCCCTCCCCCATCCACAAGTGTTGCTTTGCGCCTTTAATATATGAATTTCAATCAGCGGTAATTTCTCAAGATTGATGCCTAATATCAATCTTTGACCACGACAAAGATCGAGTAAATACAATGAAGGAAAAACTAAAATTATCTGTGTTTTTATTAACATTTTCAACGAGATAATGGTGTTCTAGGGCAGGCATTTGTAAAATATCCCTAATTCACCCCCAGTCTGCATTTTATCCTCAGTCTGCATTTTATACCCCAGTCTGCATTTTGTGCCTAGTCCGGTCTGCAGATTATACTGACCGTATTGTACAGTAATGAGTGGCAAGCTTGTATGGCAACTGATCATGGTATGCTAATAGACCTGCACTGCAGACATTAAAAACCGTAGCATGACCTGTTGCTAGGCTAGCTTACCACTAACAGTATTATAATTATAGATACAAAAGAAAAAGTTATAAGCATTGAAGGTATTCATATAAAAACGGCCATGCCAAGAGATGTGCAAGGTGTTTGGTATTCAAATTGCACTTTTCCTACCTCCTGAACAGGCATCTTAGGGTAGGGGCTGTTTACATGATGGAAGGTGGGATGATTTTGATGTATTGAAATAAGTCAACAGGCTAAACGAAAGTTCAAATGCTGGTTAACAGAACTCAAATGTTGCAGAGCATCTTGTAGTTCAAGAAGATTATTATTGCTGCTTGAACAACCTTTCAGTTTACAAGTAAATATTGCTATCTCTCGAAAATAATGAAGTTTTTTCCTGAAGTGTGCACCATGACTTATGTAAATACATCTAAATCATCCTGCCTCATATCTCATCCTGGCAAAGCGGGATCATAAGGCGTAAAAAAAATACTACCTGTGGTTCCGGTTTCATATCGTGAAAAAATTAGGGTCGGTAGGTCGGAAATAATTTTTTTTGAATATTTTTTTCATGGTTTTGGCGTTTTTTTGCTGGGCGATTTGCAGTAAAGTGCCGACATCAATATTAACTAGAGATGCGTATTTCCTATGGACAAATTTAGGCAATTTGGTTCAATAATTAGTGTGACAACAGACGTCATTTTGGCACGCTGCATGAGCAGCCCGAAACCACCTGGAGAAAATAGGGTCGCACGGTCAATCGCGTTGAAAAAATAATAGAGTCGACAGAAAAAAATAGGGTCGGTCGGGAACCGGAACCACAGGTATTTTTTTACGCCTAAGAACAGCCCCTTATTCAGCAAATTGTGCATGCTGCCTTTGATCCCTTGGCGGTGAGGCAGCACTTTCCTTGCGATAGTAACTTCTAGTTCTAGGAGTAATTCTTGTCGGGCTAGTGATTAGCTGTTGTAGTTGGTATTCATTTATTAACTCAATCAATTTGTTTGTATGTTGGTTATTATTTTCAGTTGACAGAAAATTGCAATTAAAATCACCAGTTATAACACCAGTTAAGACAAAAGGACGCTCAAAACAGTGTTAAAATATTAGCGTTCTCCATGTGATTTGAAGACTTTAAACTGTTTTCAATTATCTGTGCCCTGTTCCGGGGGGGGGGGGGCGTATATGTTTATCAAAGCGAGCTTATAACTAAGATGCACCAAATTTACGACGCGGACGTGAAGAAAAACTGTAACTATTCCCACAGTTTCATTACACGGATAAAAATTATGGCCTCCAGTTGATAAACAAAGTCAGAGACACACTAGTGAAGCAAAATAAATCTGGATTCCAAACATTAGCAACGGTTTTTATGTCATGTCCGCGTCGTAGATTTGGTACATCTTAAGCTCGCTATAGCAAGTTTTTCTGTTTATAGCCTACTAACTCAATCCCCAGTGGGGAAAGTGCAATGAGCAGCAGGTTAAAACACACAGGAGATCGCCCACGTCCTACAGGGCAAAACTGCAGGCCAAACTAGGGCTACCAACCTCCTGAGCGCAAAAACAACAGTACGCATGCGCACTGTGCTAAACCCCAGAGGACACAAAGTGACCAATGGTGAGAGGTTAAGACGAACTCCGAAGAGAACGAATGAATAATATGGAGAATTCAGGAGACACATTCGAAGAGTCAGTATTAAACGTATCATTTGATGAGTTTTCCATTGAAGGTTAGTGTCAAAGAAGTTATATCTCTTATATCTCTGCATGTATAGGTATTATATTATGATAGTACTGTGTCTGAGTGTCTGAGAACACCGCGGAAAAACGTCTGCGCATGCACCAAATTATGAAAATATGGGGGGGGATTTGAATATCAATTTCTAAAACAAAAACATGCTTATTAATTGGTCAAAATTAGTAAAACAAACGAGAAAATATAGCAAATGGGTAGACTAGACATTAATTGAAAGCGTCCTGGCATTTAAAGTATGGAATGAAATATAATTCATGTAAAAAATTGTTGATTTTAATGGACATGACTTCGAAAATTTTTGCAAAATTATTGAAAACAAAAATTCAAACTAAAAAGTTAAGAAAACTCTCGAAAAGTTAAGCTTCTTAACCCACTCAAATTGTAGAATAAATCCTAAAGTTTAATTATTGTGAACACGAAAATTTTTTATATTTGGCGACACAGTTTTTTTTAAAGAAATGTATCTCAAACGAAAATTCGGAAATTGTCGTTGCTTAGTTGATAAACAAAATGTTTCAGACGATAAATTTGTCAACAATCACCTTTAGTTCATGTTCTTGTACAATACAATTTCTTGAACCTTCTGGCTGTATTTATTCCTAGTTTTTAGAATGACATGTTTATTTTTGCGCTCGAAATCTGGCTGTAAAGACGCACAATGAAGTCACTCCTTTTTACCGCCATTTTGAGCCTTCGGGAACGTTCGGAACAGCTTTTCATCAAGTTCGCAATACTATTACAGGTAAGGTTGACGCATGCGCAGACGTTTTTCCGCGGTGTTGTGTCTGTGTTTAGTATAAATAATAATTAAATTCACTTATTCACGCCTTGTTATTTGTATATATTATTTCTCAATTTTCCATTGATAATTATACTTTTAAATCAGTAGCTGTGACTATATTTAAAGAATTTGAGTTCTTTACAGCACAATTATAAATTTGAGACAAGTTAATGAGTAGTTGTACTGTAATTTTGTAAATGGAAATGCAAAATTGATGGGTCTGCCGTCTAGTATAAAAATGAGGCATATATGTCAGATATATCATGTCATCTATGATTTATATTTCAATCGCTAAACAATAGTTTGTTGATTATGTCAAATAGGATTCAATTTTTATAAAAATCTGCTTGTATCTGGCTACCCTGATTTACAATTATACAAATTTTTACTTATAGATAGTCAAGCAGATGTTGTATTTCAAGCATGTAAACATCAACTGTAAACATTCAAAGCTGAACATGAACAACAACCTAAGCGGTTAATCGCCTCATATTGGAAAGCTTTTGGAGATTGTTAAAAGTTTCAGTTGCAACTAAGCCCTGCAGTAGTTCTACTACTTTTCTAACCGTTGTTTCTTCGCTGAAATCCGATCGCCGATGAAGCGATCTGTAATGGACATATTAAAAGTCCATTTTTTAAAAATATTTCGATTTTTCCATATTCTGTAAAACAAGCATGACAACACGTTTTCCCATTCCTCCATTCTAACAATAACGCTTTTCCAAAACAAGAGTGTTTTAGGTCAAGTTTTTCTACTAAATTTGCGTCGTCCATAGATATAAACACTTTTGACAGTTTTGAGAATAACAAATTATTTAACAATTACATGTAACAATAACAATTAACAAATTTCTCACAAACTCCTCCCCGGTATTTTGAACTATTGGGCGTGACTTCTGGCAGAGGTTTCCCGCTTTCTTCGATAACACCGAAACCTCTGCGGAGGAGAGAGATAAATAGTGATGCCACAGACGTATTTTTATTGACTAAACCGGCAGGCTCTAATTCAATTCAACGAGCCTGTACGCAGGCTACTATTTGACCTTCTTCCACCACTCTAATGGCTTGCACGTACTTCTTCATGTTGATAACTTTCGCTTCATAATATTTTGTTCTACAAACCCGAGATTTACTTTATTCCTTAGTGTGCGAAATTCCGATTAATCCCCTAGACTGAGATAATGCTTTTTGGCGTCTTCCGATTAGCTCTTTCAGGGCGGAGTTCATCCACGGTGGTTCACTTACGTGTATAGACTTAGATTGTAGAGGGAGTACAGAATCCAAAACAGTTTAAACTATCATCTGAAGAAGCGAAACTTTTTCTGTACATATGTCTACAGATTCAAGTAGGCCAGGCAGGGGCGTAAATCCTGGAGGGGGTGGCTCATCCCCCCCCCCCTCCCAAGTTTAAAATCGACAGTTTTGTCGGGCAAAACTCAGTAATTCGTCGGGCGACAGGCGTTTTGAAAAGAATTTAAACTTTTGGGAAGTTATACATAAAAATACGACATTACGAAACTGATCTTGAACTGACTGTTGCAGTACGTATTTATGTTAGGCCCACACGGACACGACTCCACTTTAGTCGGTTCTTTCTTGACGTGCGATGAACCGAAATAGGTACACCTGTAAATAGCCATATATATATATATATATATATATATAGATTAAATCTTATCATTCAGCATTTTAGGGTTTTATACGAACTATCATAAAAAAAACAAAATTATTGTTATGTTTGAATTATTGTAAATTTGTAATATGTATATATAGACCAGGCGGAGAAGGGGGGAATAGTCCCCGACGGGGAAATTTATGAAACCAAGTGAACTTGGTCAATTTTGGGGTGCTGAATTCGAAAATCGTTGGTATACAGGCCGTGGACGTGGCCTTCAGCCTCGTTTTCGCGTTTAAAGCCTCGTTTTGATGCGAAAACGTTATCCGCTCGATTGAAGCGAAAACAATGAATAATTTGTTTAATATACGCACTTTTAGGTATTTCTAGGTGCAGAATTCGAAAATTGATTGCATTCGGACGATAAACTGGGCCATCTGCCTCGTTTCCGAGATTTATAGCCGCGTTTTTACGCTTTGAAACCACGTTTTCCGATTTTAGTTACTATACATATTTAAACTACACTTTATTTAATCGCTTTAAAAACCTGTAAACATGTTAATGCTCATCATCCTCCATATCATCGTCGATGTCATCTCCAATATAACTATTTCGCTCGAAATCAAACTCGTCACTTTCTTCTTCTCTGTCAATTAACATTTCGCTAACGTCATCGGGGTAAGCAACACTGTCCCAGATAACTTTTCCATCTTCTTTCCAGCCATGACATGTTTGGTCATCAAGATCGAGGATCAAGTTTTTAGCATTCCTGAAAATGAATGCAACATAATTTGCACGCATTATGTGAAACTTGAGGTTGGTTGCACAAGGTGGCAAAAGGCTAAGATCAACGACTTTCTTCTCTTTCGTAAATTTTTGGACAAACATCTTATGTCGAAGTTTGTTCACCGAAGACATCACCTTGTTACCGTATAATGCACAAACGAACCTTTGTAAGCTCTCCGAAAGATGGTCAGGAACTTGAAGAGAGCTGCCTAGCTTAGCAAAGAAACTAATAAATTCTTGGCTTTTCAGCATCGCTTTCCAAACAGCCATCTTCCCTTTCCTGAAGAAAGTTGAAACGTAGTCGTTACCAGAAAACGCGTGCAAACCAATCAGAGCCTTTCTTTTCTCATGATCTAATGTTGACGACGTCACATCTATAATTTTTCTAGCTTTTCCGGTCCCGTTGTCGATTAGGATTTTAGCGGCACAAAAATCATGCGCCACAAACAGGGCAAGAATATCGATATCTCCGGAAGGTGATCGAACCATAATAGTATCTTCTGGAGGTGCGTTCACAGCGTAGGTCAAGGCAACAAGCTTTGTGTCCGCTTCCTCGTGGTCGCTAGCTAAGTATTCGGCAACTGATACTTCATCACTTGTTATCTTCGTACACTTGAATTTGTTGGAAAAGAATACGGTTTTTCCTGATAGTAGATCACCACGCATTTCTTCAATTGCTTTCTGAATAAGATTGAAAAGCATTTCTTTGTTTTCCCCATTACGAAGAAAACCAGCGAAATCGTAAGGCACCTTCATGTCAGGACTGGTTAGGACATACCGCTCGCTTGAACCTCTTGCTTGGCGTTCTCCACCTTTGATGCTATTGTCCTTGTATGTGTCACAAACTATGTAGATAGTCGTGTACTGAGAAGGAACAGTGGCTATTATTTGAGATGTCATTTCTCTAATCGTAGATCCAGTGAAGATCAGACTACGTATCGCAGCGGCGAGATCTAACAAGTATGTTCTCATTGTCGAAGCGGGTGGTAGTGAGTCGTGGCTTACAACAGTCAGCTCGCTCATGGAGGCGTGGTACAATTTGCTTTTGACGGTTTTTCGTATCGCGCCATCTGGTGTGCATAGCGGGATCGAAACGGGTGCAAGAGGAAAGCAGAGTACTTTCTCAAGATCAATACCTGACTCGTGCTTGTTAGAATACGCAACTAATATCCCCAAGATATCTCTCTGATATGTGAGTTCCTTGATCCTTCCCTTGTTCTTTATCTTGGTCTTTACTGCCAAATTCTTGAAGGTCTCGAGCTTCTCTCTCTTGATTGGGCTAAAGAAATCTGCTCCAGGTGATTCTGCTGACTCTGTGGTAATTCTGTCCTGAAATTCGTCCATTAGCTCCTTTCCCCTTGATTCAAGTGCAAGTAGACATTCACACACGTTCTCTGGAGCTGGATACCCGGAAACCAAATTGAACAACTTATCTTTATCAAGGTCAGCATGGAAGGGATTGATGAATTGTGTCTTCAATACCACCATGATTCCTTCCACCATCTTATTCGACTTCAGAATTTCACTGCTTCGCAGACATTTCGTGGATTTGACATTGTAGTGCACACTCCGGATAGCTCCAGTAACGATTCAACAAACTTGGTTTGGTATGGCCTGTTCATGACCCACTTTGTTACAGTACTTTCCTTTGCAGCAAATTGCGTGATTCCCCCTAAAAAGACGGAGAATGGTAATAAATATCAAGTATAAATGTACGACGGTTGCCACCTGTAAGGAAATATTGTTTCAGGAGATGCATGGCTGAAATATTTAAGATTATTACTTTTTGAATTCATGAGTATGAAGTATGTACCTGCAGTCTTTGCATTTCTCATGTAGCTTTGTTCGCCTGTCATGTCGATTGACTGTCCTATGCCAAGTTGATTTCTCCGCACCGACAAACCAAGATCTTCGATCTCCTGTCTTGCTCCTGGATGAGTGCTGTCAATACCTTCTAAACCACTTACATAATATGTGCC